CCAATCCTTCCATTCTATTATCCGATTTGCTCTCATCTTTTGTAGTAACATTTTATTGCTGTATTTCTATTTAAATATGCTCTGTGAAAGATTTCCTTGTTGGAATTATCAAAATCCTTTCCATATATCCGCTCTTTGAGAGTTGAAAAAGCACGTGGGATTAGCTCGAGTGATAGCAAATGCACGAAAACAATGCTTTACTACCAAGAAGTAGTGGCAAGTACCACACTCTTTTGTTAGAGGTCGAGAATTTCACTGTAGCAATGGAGCGGTTTTTCGCTTGCTTTTCATGCATTAATTTTTTAGCAGTCCAATTCGCCCACCTCGGAGCACCCAGTATATCGACCGGAACGTCGCGATTACGCGAGCGTCGATTCCTCGGAGATTCGGACTGCTGAAGATATGGAAATGAACGCTGGCACAAGCGGCGACGATATGTCATTTGTGGATGATGAACCAACCAGTACTGCTAGACTCACCGCTACTGCTGCTGGTATGCGCTTGTTTTTCGTCTTGAGAAATAAGAGTGCTCCTGTAAGTTACTGTTCGAGCCAGTGAATTGATGTTCTAGACCGTCCATGCCATTATCGGAAACGCCCATAGGCGGATCTAGGGGATGGAAGGGGGAAGGAAAAGGAGGATGGGGAGGGAGGGGAGGGGGTGGAAGTGAACGGTCTTTCCCCCTCCCCGCATCGGCATAGGCATCATTGCTGCAAAAGCCCGTTTCTAAAACTAAACTCAAGCCTAAAGTAACTGTACACTAAAAGTACTCTAAAGTAGCAATGTCTCAACTCTCCTCCTCATCCCCCCCCCTCACGTCGTGTCCCCTCTTCCCCCCTCTTCCAGGAGTTCCGCCATCTCTCTCTCCCTTCCCCGGCAGCCTGTTCTGGATTGGCTTATGGAAGCATCCAAAGTACACCACTGAGTAGGATCCTTGGATGGTGACGTATCATCTGTGCCGCTGTCCGAAGTATTGGACAGGTAGTTAAAGGCGTACGACTCAGGATCTAGGAGTCAGGAGAAGTTTAGTATGTGTTCGGTTTGTGAGAACATCTCAGCAGCGTCATTAACTTAGGCTTTTTGCACCGATTGTCTGGGAATTCTTGATATTTTTGATAATCTTGCTGTCACTGAATGTCCGTGACACACAAATTCTGCCTAGTTCAAGAACACTTTTCCCATCACTGTTTGAGGGGTCTTGCTGTTCGCAGTTTGCATTTTCATTCGAGGACTCGTAACTCGCAACATTGTGCGGGTGCTCGAAGTGGAACATCTGTGGTACTATCCGAGGGAACGGAACTAACTCTTATTTATATTACCCGGGAGTTCTACTCCTACAAGGCGTACGATCACTCTCCTGGATAAGTAGCATATCACCTTCCAAAAATTTGAAAGCTTGGCGTATTTCGTGACTGAGAATCTTCTCCTAGCACGAGTTGTTGAATCTTGATTCCAAAATGTTGTACCTTAGCTGGAAAGTCGCATGTTAGCAGAAGGCTAGACTGGAAATTTCGGGGTTGATATTCGGTAGCCAATATTTTTATTAAAACAGCAAAAATATGGTTTGAATGAGTTGCATTTAATGTGCATAATTGTATGAAAGTTTGGCCAGGAGTTCAAAATTGAGCCCCTCTAATGAGGCACTTTGGCGCGGGCGAGAATTTGGCCAGCCAAACCTTTTTTGGAAAAATGACCACTAATTTTGATATCTATCACTAATTTTGACTTTTGCTTTTTTTTGAAGGTAAGCCGCGTACGACTTATTCCACAAAGGATACGAGTGATCCGTTGAATGCTGAGATAGAAGACGACATTTACATTGATACGACAGAGCTGTGTAAACGTATTGCTTGGGAACTCAAGCAGCACTCTATACCTCAAGCTATCTTTGCTGAACGAATACTCTGTCGGTGAGTTCTACTTTTGCGCGATTTTGTGCTACACTGCATTGCTTTTTCCGTTATTATCATAACCCAGGCTGGAACGCACCAGGCGGGTCGGTGCGATTATGCGTTTTGGCACTTTTCGCAAGGAATCAAAGTAGCTAACCCTGTGAAATACTGGCCCTCGAAGTTCGGGAAGTTGATTGTGCGACTCTGTGGTATGTCAGCTGTAGTTGTCGACTTCAGTGACCCGACAAAGGGAAAGTTGCTGGCCCTCAAAAAAAGGCCACGCTAGAACAGTTAAATCTAGAATTTTTTAGTCGCACATGGGCAGGGAACACTGTCCTAAAATTAAAGCCTTCAGCTTTTCCCGTCCCTGAGTTAGCAGTATTCCCATCAAAATTTTCACGTGCCCGTACGTGAGTACCGAACGGTTTTAAGGAGCTGAATTTAAAATTTTTTGGTCATACATGGGTA